ACTCTTGGCGTAAAATGCATTATCCGAGTTTTAAAACACTATAGGTCAAAAAAACAAATTCCTAAACTTTGAAATCATCTTTTTTAAATTTAAAATCGAAGAAAAAATTAACTCACGAGCATAAGCATACTAAGCACATTCTGAATCGCAAGCAATCCATCAAGGTCTGCGGGTGACGTCACTACTATCAGCTGCTGATAGCGATGACGTCACTCGCAGACCTGCTGCGGACTCGAGAATTAGCGAACGTACGCCTTATGAGCAATCCTGCGGATAGTCACCCAGCGTTGCCAGACCCTCGAAAATTAAAGTACTGATCAAGAGGCAAAAAATGTACTAAAAAACGTAAAAATGTACTAACATCAGAAACTAAACTGGAGTTCATAAAACTAATAAAGTAGATTGTTTTAGCATACTTATTTTGTTTTTTTAGGCTTAAGAATATCCTCTCAGCACAAGCGCTGCTTTATGGCAATCTCGTTACATTGTCAACATCAAAGAAACGAACAACACCGGTAATTTGCCGCGTTTTTCATGTGATAAAGATTGAACCGAAATTTTTCAAAATCGTTACATTTTCAGAAGATCTGACATTATAGATTGGGGCAGGTTACTTATTTCACGAAATTTAATGTTAATATCTTCTAGCTTCTCAAGAATGTACATGTTATAGGCAATTTAAGTATTAGGTAATAGGTCAGTAGGAATATTGCTATCACCCTTGGAATTTTTTTTGATCTAAGAAACGTCAAACATCTAATCTAAGCAAAACCCTCCTCTCTGGTGGATCTTGTAAGTAATCCAAAACTTCAGCATAAACTCCTTTTTTCTTGAGGTGCATGCCAAATTTCCGAAAGGTCAGTTTCTGCAGAAATCACAAACCAGTCAGAGTAAATTTCATTGGTTGAAACAAGTTTCTGACTGTTTTTGACTGGAAACAGACCTGAACTAAGCGAGATTAAACTCCTAATCGAGATTAAGTCCATATACGGGCGTAAAACGGGCGCGGGCTAAAGGCATGTTTGGGGTGCACTCAAAATTCTGCTCCGCAGTATTTCGTGAACCCCTTCCGTCCCAAGGAGATTACACACTCTAGGAGTGCTTATCGGCCTCGTTTTTGGTAATCGCCGCCATATTGGTTTTCCACCATTGCCGACGTCATAACTAAATCGTCAGTTGTTTAAACAGTCTACGTCAAGGCGAGTAATAACATGCTGCCTACGTCACAACTGGAAGTTTGGAATGGGGGAGGAAGAGGGGGATTTGTTACACACATGCATTATGAAGATAGGCCATCCTGGTAGTAATAGTGTGTATCGTCCTTGCTTCCGTCCATTCGAAAATGCAGGTATTCGTTAATTTTTCCCGCCGTTTAAGAATATCCCCGGTATTGTACAGCGGCGGGAAAATGTACTGAATTTTATAATGTGGTACTGACGTACTGAAGAGGGTCAAATTGTACTGATTTCAGTACATCTGTACTGATGCTGGAACACTGTAGTCACCTGCTAAAAAACGGGTACATGGATACAAGAGATAGTAAAATTTTCATTTCTTATGAATTTAAAATCATGTTTACTTTATCAAAAATCTATAAAAGAATATTGTTTTTTTACTACTAACCTGAGAAATAGACATTATTCAATCTATTTTTCTAAGAAAAAATTGAATTTCTCTCCCTAGGTTAATAATGAAAATAATGAAAAAATACCTAGGTCAATAATGAAAATGACGTCATGACGCAAGGATATTGTCGTGTTTCTATTGGTTCAATTTCAATTTCATACGTCAAATTGAAAAAAAATACAGGTTTCTGTAGGTACATAGGAAGTTATATAAGCTGTTGATAGAGGGCAGCACTTTCAAGAGGGCGTTCACAAAAAATAATTAGAGCACAGATTTTAAACAACTTTTTTATTTTCTACTAGCAGTAGTAAAAAAAATTCTATATATTCCTCGGTAGAGAAAGTCATTATATACCTCACGCATTATAAACCTCGGCGCTGCGCGCCTCGGTTTATAAAAGCTTTCGGTATATAATGACCAACTTCTCTACCTAGGTATATAATATACTATTTGCTGTGTTTCATTTTCTTTTAACATTAAGCAATTTTTAGTCTCACGATTTTTCTTTCTCGAGTCACGAATTTTTTTTTATTTCATCTGGCAACGCTGCCAGCTGGTAATCCAGCTTTCCTATTGGTTAATACGCCTACAAGGACCAATGCGCAAGCGCGGAGGTCAGGATTGGATTCAGTTGAAGCTTCTGGAAAAAAATGTGCTTCTGGGATTTCATAACTTTTGATTTTTGATACTTAGTTCGGTCCTGCCTACCTGATCCGAAAATGACCATTTGTTTTGTTTACTTTAACTTTACTACAGTGTTGCCAATAAGCGTGTAATCACACGATTTGCGTGTATTTTGATTGGCTTGCGTGTATTTTTCGAACATAAACAAAAAGCGTGTATTTTGCGTGTAATTTGAGAAATTTGATTTTCTACTTTTTTGTTCTGCTTCACGACTTTCTAATCTAAAGCCAGGGCCCATTGTGACATGAATAGGACGTTTTCTCTTCCCTTGCATTCCATTCCATCATCTTTTGTCTGTCAAAGACTCTGTCATGGGACTACCCTTATGCCCAAGGATAATACGTACATTGCTTATCGGCCTCGTTTTTGGTAATCGCGGTTATATGGTATAGCACCATTGTCGACGTCATTAACGAAGTCGTCAGCTGTTTGCTACCATTATGGCCAAGGACAATACACACTTGCTTATCGAACTCGATTATTGCAAAGTTCATATGGTGTTGCACCGTTGTCGACATCAACGGCAACAGCAACGTTAGCAGTTTGAGTCAGCGGTCGTAGTTAAGAATATACATTGATGATGAAAAATATTATTTAACTGTGGTGCAAACACTCTACGTCAAGACGAGAAGCGACACGCTACGTCATCACTGGTGCTTTGTGACTAGTGATTTGACTGGATTTAATCCATTTCCCAAAATCAGACATCACAAAAAAAAATATGATACTTGCTTCTTGGTGTTACGAAATAGGTACCAACATCGTGTGTAAAAATCATGTAATTGTGAGACTGAAAGCGTGTAAAAACGTGTAATTTGACCAGCATATCGTGTAATTTCACAAATTCAGATTGGCAACACTGCTTTACTACAAAAACCACTGGACATTTATCAAGCTCACTTTCATCACAGTGATCTGCGAATGCGAGAATAAAACAGGAGACATAGGACATAGGTACAGAGTACAGAGATAAGTTGAAACTAGTCTAAACAAGGCAGGCTAAGATTTTTCCGAAAAAATGATAAATTGTAGCTTGAGCTTAAGTAGCTTGCTTTAGTAGCTACCTACTTTTCACAGTAGCTTATGAATACATGAAACACATTACCAAAAGCTACAGCTACAAGCTACTTTTTTTTAAAAAGTATCTTGATTAAGTTATTAGCTACCAAAAAAGTTAAGTAAGTTAGTATCTTAACTACTTGGTAGCTAGCTACTGCTCGAGAGCCGAGAATAATAGCTGAATTATTCAATTCTTCACAATAGCAACTATGTAAATGACATGTAAACAAATACTAGCTAGTAATCCAGCCTTCCTATTGGACCAGTGCGCAAGCGCGGAGGTCGAGATAGGATTCAGTTGAAGCTTCTGGGAAAAAAAAAATTGCTTGTGGCATTTCATGACTTTTGGTTCTGTTCAGTCCTGCCTACCTGGATCTGAAAATGACCATTTGTTTACGTTACTGCCGTTTGGATTTGAAAATAGTATAGTTCTGAGTGAAATCAAAGCTAGTGTGTATAAAATAATTCTTCAAATGCTTTGTTTGTCCCCCCATCGAAAGTGAGGTTATGTGTGTGACGTCAGCTAGTGCATAATTGCTTAATTTATAGTTCATTGTGTGTTAAGTGCTGGTTATAGATATCAAGTTATATCCATGTGATATGTTATTTTTTGGTCTAAAAACAATTTTTTTCCCCTTTCTAATCGTAAATCCTGTCTAGTCAACGAAAAAACCCCGAAGGGACCCAATAAAGCACAAAAACCAAAATGAAATATATTCGTCCTTATATTCTATTTCCATATAGGAAACCTTTTGAAAGAATATACATAGATTATGAAAAAAAAAGGCCAAATCTGGACCCATTTCGGATTTTAGACAGACGTAAATCCAAATGATTATCTGCAAAATTTACTCCGCTCTTGGTTTGACCCGAAATCAAAAAGAGATTAATAATATTAATGGCACGACAACGTTTATATACAGATTAATTGGTTATTTCCAGGGCGTCCGAAAACTAATACATCATGGCCGATACGGACGTCCCAATAATAACGGACGGCCCCCTTTTTACTATATCGATTAGTTATCGTTAATAATGTTAAGAGAGAGGATTAATTGGACAACGTTTAGAAGAGATTTTTTTTTTTTTTTTGAAGTGTATTTATTTAGAAAGCGAAAAATAACTAATTGAGAACGTGACTGAATTCACACCAATTGGGGCCCTTATTCTCGGAACCATTCTCAAGAGAACGAAGGTTCTGTTTTAGTCGCCCATATTTTTAATTTCCATAATACTGACAAAAACAGAAAAATAGTTCTAGTAAAAACGCTGCTTTCCTGTTCCGAGAATAAGGGCCTAGGTGATATTTATTAAAAGGAGCAACTTGAAACTACGCAAAGGAGGCAATAGTTTATATAGCTTGTGACGTATCAAGGGGGGCCTAACAACAAAAATAAGACTGCAAGCAGATAATAATTGTTAAAATATTTTAACTACGCCTATGGGTAGTATAATTTTACAAAAATACGCTCTATGAAACCCGAAAACCTATTGTTTAACAAGGGGATTTCTGGAATGGATGGCTGATAGGGGTAGATCAAGTCTTCACGGTGGGTTTTCTTAAAGATGTTTTTGAAAAATATGTAATTGGAAAATCAATATATCATTGACAATTATTATTGTTGTTTCAGGTGCCCTGACGACGGGTCCCGGGCCACCACCGGTTGCACGGGGGGCGGCAACGGAACGACGACGGCACCGTCTTCTGGCGCTGCTGCGTCGTCTTGCCCCCCGGTACGCGGCGCTCCTGCTCCTTTGCGCGGCAACGGCAACGGTGCTGTTTCCGAACGGTATCCGCTCGGGAAGGATCGGCAGTCGTCGGTCGCGGCGACGAACGCTGCGCAACAACAACAGGCGCAGCACAAGTCACAATCGACTGGATACCATCATCAGGACAGGTATGTACAGTACGTCGTTTTTAATCTGATACTCCAATGCAGAATGTGAGCTGGTGGCTCTCTACGTTATAACGCCAATGATCACCTGTTTTTGCCATATGCTTCACCCCCTTGCTCCTCATACGGAAAGTGTCAAATTAAAAACGACACACAATATGTCTTTTTATCAAAAAACCAAAACTATATAATCCGTTTAATATTCCTAAAACAATATTAATACAGACTGTAGCCGCTACGTGACTTTATCCTTCATTGCGGAGCCAGGTTCGGTCTATCCTAGATATCTGGAAGTTTTCCAACTTTGCGCCGAGCTAAAGAAAATTTCGGAGTTATGATCCAATTTTACAAGGGCTGGTTAATCCGCTGCGCTAATAACGGGTTTTCAATCAATTTGGATTGGGGAGATTGTACTGTGTTTGTTTTGGCTAGGATGTATAGATTTTCTATGTTTGTATGGTTATCATCAAACCTCCAGAGATTTTTCAAATTATTTTCAGAAAGTTTCAAAAGCTGACGTTGCTCCCAATGGAAATTACTTTCTTAGGTAAATTGGTTCATCTTCAGTTTCAGGAACCTGTAAATCAATGCTCCATTTTTCTGGTTCGTTACAATAGAATCTCAAAATGGCGGATTAGTTCTAGAATGTTAATACAGAATATCCTGTTTACAGGCTACAGAAAATAGAATGAATCTGATTGACCCTTTAGCTACAGAATAATTTGAACTGATAACACCAACTACAGAGAGTAGGTATCTGAAATATTATCTATTTCATTCTAGGTACCTTTACAATGATCGAACACCATGTTCGAGCACACCAACAGTACCACTCGGAAATACCAATATTAGGTATCCGACATCCAGTAGCACAACCAACGGCGGTAGCGATCGGTACAGTCCGCATGGTAGCCTGGACCGGTACCATCATCTGGGTGCGACGTACTCGCGCACTTCCACTCCGTCATCGGAACGGTACCTGGACAAAAACTACCATTTGGAGACAGTGGAGGCGACGGCGCAAGCTACAGCCTGTACCATCGATAGGTAGACTTTTTCGATTTAAAAAAAAAAAATGTATTGCAATTTCTGGTTCAGGTACACTCCGACTGAACGCCATCGGCGGAATTCGAAGTCTGACGTTTACAAGATTAGAGAGAGATCGACTAGCTCGGATAGGAAGGAAAGATTACAGAGAGAACATTTGCAGGGACGCGGACAGCAACAGTACGATACAGCCAACAGTCAATACGAAAGGTAATTGTCAATTTTCTTTAAATTTCTTTTGGGACGTTGTAAATTGGATTCATGTGTAACGGAAGTTGAGACAAACGATATAGATTATTAGGATTTGGCGTGCGAGAGAATGAAACAAAACCGATTTCTATGTTTTTCAATATGGCGTCATTGTATTATAGTAAACAACAAAAAGATGGCGGAAAGAAATTATATATGGCTTTTGCGGAACGAACAGCCGATAATCGGGTTAATTAGGGCCATATTCTCCGTAGTTCATAAAGCCTGGCTTAGTAGAAAAGCTCGGCTTTGTTACACAAAAAGCCAATCGTTTCCACTAAGAGAGGCTTTATGAACTACGGAGAATATGGCCCTTAGGCTCTCCAAACCACGTGATTTTTCAATATGGCGACTGTTGCAAATTTGACGTTTGTTTGTTTATCTTGAGTTAATTTGGAATATTTTCAAGCTAATTATAGTTTACTTTATTATAATATACTTTTCGAAATGCAGAGTGAATACTTAAAGACTTAAATGCAGGAAAATCGCGATGTGGGCGAACGATAAGTTTGAAAAAATGTCTATTTGACATTTGTTTACATTTTGACCTAGTTTTTACAGCAATTACTATGTATTCCTTTTATACATCGAGTTACACCGAACGAGCTCCTCGGAGTCACTCCAAAACACACAATTCATCAGGTTTCATCATTATTTTTTAATATTAACATTACCGTCCTTACCTAAAAGGGCTTCTTGCACCCCCCGCAAATTTGGTGCATCAGAGGAAAGAGGGATGCACTATGAGCGACTCGAGTGCTTCACGCACTTTTAAAAGGAACGTTCAAGCTCTTGACATTGAGCAGCTCCGAGTAACTCAACGAGTAAAAGGAATACAGTAAATGAGCAAATGAGAGCCTACAAAAGCTTAGATTCTTACAAGTATTTCGAGTATAGCTTTATTTTAGATGCAGGAACAGTGGTACTGAATAATTTCTACGTTTTAATTGGAAAAATTTGAAAGGTTCGGCACTGAAAACAACCTGACATAATCCTTGTTGAAACGCCTTTTAAAATCAACTACAAGACACCTTTGTAGCATTTTTATTTAGAAAAAAGCCTTATGAAGTCAACAAAAAAAATAAATAAATAGGGTTTAGTCACAAAACAACCACACAATGCACTTTAAAAAGCTTTAAATTCTGTACTGTCATATACGGAATGAATAAGGAACTTACGCCCCGGTCGCCATTTTGGAATAGTTTTGACAGGTCGTTGGAATGCCTAATTGGATTCTGTAAAGGCCTACTATAATTTAATATATTTTCTAATTTGGTCACACTGGCTGTCAATAATTTGTCCTTAAGGCTTGTTCACATTAAAATATTTAGGAAAAAACTTGGATATTGCATCATGATAGTAAAAATACGTGTTTTTATTGGGCTGGCAATAAAAAAATCTACAGTTATTACTTCGTTTTAACGACGTTTTTTTAAAACCTGACTCTTTTATCAAGTGTTGATGATGATTAAAAATTTTGCTGTAAATAACTGCTTGAGAAAAACTCACAGAAATATAGCTTTTACAGTCCGGAAAAAGCAAACAATAGAGAATCAATAATGTAAAGAGAGAAGCTATTCCGCTCCGGAGGAAATAAAACGCTTTCCGTCTTGTATTTTTCCTCGGTAAGCAAACATTAAAATAAAAATCCGCGAGTCGATTGACCCCATTCTAACTTTATTGAATTTACATGTAATTTTTCCTCTTTGGAATTTGTTTTAGAAAGTTTAGTTTTCACATTGCCATCGAAAAAGGGAATTTAGCAAGTTAATATCGAAAAGTGGGATCGTCTCCCGCAAATCCCCCATAATCCCTCCTCCTGGCAAAAAGAACAAAATGTATTTTTAATTTTGGATATTTCGCTTGAAGTCAACAGCAGCCAGGGATTACGAAATGGGTCAGCATCTTCTCGATGAGCATTATTTATTGATATTTTGCTGCGGAAATAAATTCTGTCGTAGAAATTTCAAGTTGAATCTAATAATTCATATTCTGTTGGTGACAGAGTATATATGGATTTTCGCACAACTTTTCAGGAAAAATCTCCTAGAGAATCCCTATTACAGGTCATTACACGACTAAAAACTACGATAATAGTTCAAAAGTGAATGCTTTGACCAAAATATTCCTCTAAAACTAACCCCAAACTAACTCAAAGGGATCTGAAGTTAAATTTGACAAAGGTTTGGATAAATTAAATACATAAATGTAGGAATTTTTTTATGGTAGGAATTTAAATTTGAATATTTGAATTTCGCGCTCATTTATGGTCAGTTTGAAATTTGACAAATGATGACGTAGATGTTAGGTTAGTTAGCGAAGGAGAGTGTAATATCCTTGATGTAATTCCTAATTAGGCAATCCAATACATCTGTCAAAACGTAAAATTCAATAAGGCGTGGCGGCCAGCAAGTTTGTTTCGAATATGTGTTTTCATGTATACTTCAATGGACCTATCTATTTTACCAGACAAAGAGGTAATAATACGAAAACTTTATTAGACAGAAAAAGACGCAGAACGCTTATTGCGCAAGACGAGGTAAAACGTACAAAACCATGTTAGACTTATGTATAGCAATCCCTTCTTATTATTTGCACGGGATAAAAAGGGAAAGACGAAAACCGCGTGACGTGCAACGTATTTGTCAATCAAAAACACAAACAATTGAAAATTGATCACTTGTCAAGCTACGTCAAGTTATTTATCAACCATAATTCTGATCCTTGTCAGACCACAGGCAATGAACAAAGACAAGGAGATGCCCACCGTGCAAAACGAATACTCTCACCTGTATTAGTTATGGCGGGTATTATAAAACTACTTTGACAGTTAACTTAAAGTTAACTCTTTCCTCCTCATGTAATTCCAGAAGTTAACTTTAAGTTAACTGTCAAAGCAGTTTTATAATACCCGCCCTTAGCCAATAAAAATGCTTTGCCTCGTGTTGCGCGCGCATACAGGTAAAAATAGATAGGTCTATTATTTCGCTCCGAGTTTTGCTTGCAGCTTTGATTTTGATTATTCAATAAAATATTTGTTGACTACGACCAGTGTTGCCAGTCTATTACAATTGTAATAGATCTATTACTTTTTAGAGGAGTTTATTACCTTTTTACCTTCTTAAAAATTCTATTACCTTTTTTTATATGTTTTGTTATGCATTTTCTGTTCGAATCAGAAAAAAATATATATTTTTTATATCCTAAAAGAAGTTCTAAGTTCATTTTTATAGTTTTAAGGTGAGAATCGTAGGGCCTACGTCCAAATCATTATCCAAATATATCTTTAGTTTATGGCCGTTCGCACCCAAGGCTGATACACATACCTACAAGATTGCTTATCAGCCTCGTTTTTGGTAATTGGCGCCATATTGGTGAGTCACCATTTCCGACGTCATAACTAAAAGTGTTTTTTGTCGACTCCAGCGGTTCAAAACGTTTTTGAAATCTGTTTTGAACCTTCTTAAAAATGACGTCATTAGTTTCATTCGAGAAAAAATGAGGGTTTTCCACACAGGCCTTATGAGAATAGGCAGGCTACCCGTAGTAGTAGTGTGTATCCAAGGAGAATACTCACTCTTAGGAGTGCTTCTCGGCCTCGTTTTGGGTAATCGCTGCGATATTGGTGTGTTACCATTTCCGACGTCATAACTAAGTCGTTAGCTGTTTAAGCATCCTACGTCAAGGCGACAAATAACATGCGGCCGACGTCACAACTGGTAATTTGACGTGGAGGGGTGAAAGGGGGATTTGTTACAGAGAGAGAGGCCTTATGACGATAGGCCATCTAGTACTTATTATAGTAGTGTGTATCATCCTTGGTTTGCACCGACTATATATTAAGGGATGTTTAACAATAACTATAGCTTAAAATGTCATTTTTACATATAAAAATGTCATTTTAAGCTATGCTCAATAATTTTTTTTTACGAATCACGAGTTTTATTTTTTATAGAAGAATAACACTATTGAAAGTTAATCTTAAATATTAGATATTTATTCATGAACAAAAAAAAAAGATTATATGAACTCCCATATATGGCGCCAGGTGTGGAAAAATCTATTACCATTTTTTAAAATCTATTACCATTTTTAAGACGAACCCGTTACTCTTTATGAAAGCAACCTGGCAACACTGACTACGACTACTTACGTAAACTAGTAAGGGCGGGTATTATAAAACTGCTTTGACAGTTAACTTGAAATTAACTTTTTGATTTACATGTAATTCAAGACGTTAACTTTAAGGCCCAGTTGTACAATCTCGGTTCAAAACAAAGTTCAACTGAACTCGACTGGTACTTGAGCTTTCCCATTTAAAATACATTGCTGTCAGCTATTAATCAAATTCTATCAATTTTGACAGCAATGCATTTCAAATGGGGAAGTTCAAGTACCAGTCGAGTTTAGCTGAACTCTGCTTTGAACCAAGATTGTACAACTGGGCCTAAGTTAACTCTCAAAGTAGTTTTATTATACCCGCCCTTAGGGTGGCAAGGAAAGATTTTCATAAGTGACCCATAAGGTAAATAGAGATAGGAATCCCCTACATTCTCCATCTCAATTTGCCGCATTTTAGAGATAGGCCAGGCCATTCCAGGTACGTGTAGTTTATAGTTCATTGGGTGGAACGAACTTTATGTATTTTTTTGTGTTTTTTGGTCCATGTGTGGCCCTCACGCCATCTTGAATGTCACGTGGTTTGGATTGCCTAATTTGAGGTTATGTCTTTATGTCTTAAGTCAAGTAGTAAACGACACGAGAAACGAATTAAGAATTTTGTGCAAAAGTTATGTGTTATTTAATAAAGAAAATACAACAACAATTTAGTTTATTAGACCCATCCCTACATAAAAAACAATATTCCAGAGCTTTATGTAGAATGTAGAAACTATGTTAAAGATAAATTAATAAATGAGGTTGTCTATTGTAGGCCGGCGACACCTTCGATTTTGGCATGTCCGCCGGCTCCGGCACCGTTCGGCGGACCTTCATCGGCCGTTTCCGAACCCCCGTCGCCGGCGCCGGCTTGCGATCGGTTCGTCGCCCCGCCGCCGGCCGACGGCGAACCGGAAACGACCGATTGCTATGCGCACGGCGCGTTTCCCAGTCCGATCGCGCCCGCTTCGCAGGAACGGTTCGCGCCTCCGCCGCTACCTGCGCCCTCGCCCACCGAGGATAGGCCTGCTAGTACTAATAGTAAACAAAGGTAGTTTTTAGTAGTGATTAGTTAGTACTTGTTATGATTTGTATTTCTATAGCAGATATCATCAGCAAGAAAACAAGTATCATTACACTTCCCCTAACCAATCTTCGGATAGGTACTATCAATACAAGTTGCCTAGTGGTGCTAGTCCTACGCCCTCTAGCGGTGGCTACTATCAAACGGTGAACAATGGAGATTTGAGGTTCAGCAATGAGGGACAGCGTTACGTACCACCAAATGCACACATGCCAGTGGAAAGGTCAGGATCAAAAATCTTCTATTTAGAAATAAAAATTGAGACATTTTGGCTTATTTCAGATATGTACCGCAACCTCAACCGCAAGAACCTTTTTACAACTCGTACCAGTCAACGTACGAGCGCTATCCTAAGCCGTCATTCGTTGGCAGTGATCCGTACATGCGTCGCGATCTTACTTATCATTACAGATTGCCAATACAATTTGGACAAAATCAATATCAGAAAATACGGTAAGAAATTGCCTCTGATGTTTTTTGAATATACATTATTGTGTATTATGATTAGGTACTCGCATTTGGGTACGCCGTCGCGAGCCAAATGTTGTCAATTCGAAACGACAGGGGCTCGTTCTAGTCCCGGTTCCAGTTCCAGTACGAGTTCGGTTGCGAGCGGAGGTCACGCTTCCAGTTTGCAAGACGTGCAGTGCCAAAACTATCAAGTCCATTACCAACAAGTGAGTAATTCCTAATTTAATTTTGAAACACTAATTTAATGAAATTAAAAAAAGGAAAAGTCCACTCAGTGTCCGATCAACGCGTCAAGGACTCTGGTGCCGTGCCGACACGGCGGATGCGACGGCGCAGTAGAATACGTGGGGGCGAGCGGTGGCAGACGAATATGCGCGACGCCGCCTCCGAGGCCTCAGGAGCGGTGCGAGGGGTGTATTCAGGCTGCTGCGCAGGCGGCCGCTTTGGCCGTGGCTGCGCAGATCAATGCGCAGCAGAAGAATGGAAACAGGACGCAGCAACAGACTCAACTCTGGTAAGTTTGATTTGGAATTAGTATTTATGATTGAAATATGTGAGTTCAAGAGGTTTTCTTACGACTTACAAGTGCATGAACTTACAAGTTTTACTTATTTTCATTAAATTATTATTACTCTTATTTCCTTTTGAACAATTGAATACGCGACTGTTCACTGAAAATACTTTTTGTCATTTCTTTATTTCTTCAAATTGCAAATTCTCACATGCAAGACTCAATTTGAAAAACGTTGAAGAACTAAAAAACCCTTCGCGAATTTTATCTTCACTAGACTGATGACCCTTTACTCTTCGACTTTCAACTCTCTGTACTTGATTGTTTAAATACTTTTTGGTCACACCATGAATTTGCGTGATTTTGATACGTTGACGTAAATTTCTGCTGGAAATGTGGACACTTTGGCTGAATTATAGATTTTCTCGACTTTGGACTTGAAAAGCGGCTATTGGCAGATGGAAATGGCTTCAGAGGATAAAGAAAAGACTGCATTCATTGTCGGAACTGGATAATGGCAGTTTACCGTCATGCCATTTGGATTGTGTAATGCTCCCGCTACCTTTGAAAGGCTCATGGAATCCGTTTTAAAGGGCTTATCCTGCTCCATTTCTAGTTTCTTGATGCTCAATAAATTCTTTCTTGAATCGGAGACATAAAAAATGTAGTCAGTACAACCAGAATCAATAAAAAAAAAAATACTTTTAAAAAATCAATGTTCTCATTATTTGATTCACCCGAAAAACAAATGTTTTGCTCAGTACCATTCTGGTCTTAGTTTTCTTCACTATCGTTATTAACAAAATTAGTAAATCTTCCCCTACTATTTGTTTCCGTAACTGTTCTGAATACCTAAACCACGAAATAAACCATATCCTCTACCTTTGTGTTCATATCTCTGATCTGCTCCATTGTCATATTTCCAAATTTGTCTTTGCTGATTATTACCATATCTCCCACCATTATTTGTACGAAAATTCGTTCCTCGACCTCGATTTTCATAAAGATGTCCATGTTTATGTTCATATCGTTGATTATTATCGTTATTTAACCTTTTACAGTCCTTCTTGAAATGACCGGATTCGCCACATTTATAGCATGTACCTTTTTGGTGTGTAGTGAAAGCAAATGTCCTGACCATCATTAATTATTATTCTCTCACCAAATTTTTTTTTTTTTCAAATTCTGCCACCAACCTCCATTTCACCATTTCAAATGTCATATTCGGGGTACTTTCAATAGTTGGTACCATGGTCTCATAGGTTGAAGAGGTGCTCCAGGGTACCGATAAAAAACGACATTTGTTTTATTTGGTGACAAAGGAACATTTTGATCAACAAGACCTACCACGATGTTTGGCATACTCTTGGCCAGCTTAGAGATATGTAGGTACTTGGTCATTCCAAAAATAGCCTGCAGACTCGACCAATTAGATTAGAGAATTGTAAGTAGACTGCGAATCATCTTCAGGTTTAGCGGCATCGAGATCTTAGCTTGTTGCTACAGTTTTCGGAGAAAGGACCAGAAAGCAGTGGACTGCTTCTTCCATAAAACTGCTCCGTGCAGATTTGGAGATTCCTGTAGGTCTCGACATGGAAGCATTTCGGGTCGAACTACATCTATTATTACAGCCTCCTAGAAAGAAGACTTACTTAGGAGGGTTCCCGATAACTTAGATTAGTTCCAACTTTCTAGTATTTATCGTTTGCTGTTGCTGAAATAGTGTAATAAAACAAGTAATTATTTATCATTTGAATATGGACTAAAACTTCCCAATATTTCAATTTAGTCCCTGTAAATGAATGCTCTATTTTTCTGCCTCATCTGTGATTCATTTCATTTTGGAAGCTGACTAGAAATAAATCAAAACATCAACTTTGCTTAGTAAATTCCATTATCTTATATTTATAAATCCAAACGAGTTGGTTGTTTCATCCAAAAAAATTAACAGCAACCTCTACTGAATCTCATTTAGGAAAATTTACTAACTTCTTCAAGCCCCCAAAACCAATATAAACAGTTATTTCTTGTTACGTTTGTATCGACGACCTCTCACTTTCGAGAACCACAAATGTAAAGACCGCAACAAGGACAGATATCTAAATATCTGATCTGAAACTATTTTGTGTGTTAAGGTGGAAACATGTGTGAGAAAGATGACGAAATCACACGCAAACAATGAACTTATTTTAAGTATAACCTGCGCGCGGTATTGATGCACTTAAAAGCAACCCACCTCAGGAATTATCTTGATTAAAAATAAATAAATAATATGGATTTTATAAATAATGTGTAGTTTATATGTATAGTGAGAAATAAGTAAAAATGAGTAGCGAGGACAAAGATGGAATGGAATTGGAAAGTTTGTAAGTTTTTAGGACTCGAAATATTTTGTTTGTACCAGAAATATGTTTAAAAAACTCTTGTTTGATGAGGTTATGTGCTTTTACAAAAATGTTCGCTACTTGAACACTTGTTGTCAAGGTCAAAATTCGAATATACTTACTAAAATGATATTTTGCTATAACAATAATGATTCATTATTGTTATTGTCTTTGCGGTTATTTATTTGCACTAGTAACCGGTTCAAGCTTGGTTATTTAATTAGTACTTCCTTGATAAGTGATTTCTAAGTATATTGAATAATAATACCTGTCTACATTAACTGTATTGGTTATATGGGATTGAATTTCCAAGAAGTCAAATATTACCGATTTTAATGCTTCAAAAGGTCTGAATTTCTCAAATACTATTGATCAGAAATACAGTTGAGAATGTTAACTTATTGGCAAAATCAAATCATGAATTTTGCAGAAGAAAACAACAGAAATTCCAAAGCGTTTTGTTATCGAGTTTCCATTACTGATACAATTCAGGGAGAAAAATAAATGAGGGGTGAAAGTATTTTTTTCAACTTACGTCACACTGAGGACAAATAAAATCCAAAACTATTAGAAAAAGGTAGGTATTGGATTCCGGAATTGATAGCGAAATAGAGGTCACTCTGCTTCCGGTTTCCAGTGTTCAATAAGACCAAAAGTTAATTAAACCGGAACCGGGATCCATCCTTCCCAGAAGCGTCACCTACTTTTCATTCTTGGTCGAGTGCAAACAAGCAAAATAAAAAAAAGTAGTAAAAGGGTCTATATTTCTTCAAGGCAACCGATATTACGTTTGTTTGTTCGCCTAGAAGACGTCAGCCTCAAGTGGCGTGTCAATAGAAATTCACTTTAAAATTGACTTTTAGATTTTCAATGATAATAATAATTGTAGAATAGGTTCCATTATTCAAACTTTTAAAGGTTTGTGATATCAAAATCGGGAATGAATTTGTATTTCTCGCCTCAACAAACCCCCTTGATACGTAATTTCAAATAGCTCTGTATCGTTTCATGATGAAAATTAAAAATAAAAGTAGAAGCTTTGACACCATGTATCTTGCAAATTAAGTACTTTAAGGCTGCATGTTATAAGATATTGAAGCAAAGTATTCAGGAATCAAGCTCTGTAGACACAACTGAAATCGTTTTTTGGAGTTTGGGGTATGTTGATTGACCATCGTTTTAGTAAGAAGGTACCTACCTTATGATTTAGATTTTGGAAAACTTTGAAAGGTCATAACTTTTTTGGTATTATAGATAGAAAGCTGAAACTTTCACTGAATTTTATCCCTTTCAAAGGACTACAATCCCTGAAAATTTCAGCTCATTTGCACTTATAGTTCCTGAGATAAAATCGTGTTAAGCAATTTGGGGTGATTTATCAATTTTTCAATTTCTCTGAGTGCCTTTTTCCATAGATTTCGGCTTCAAATCTGAAAATAATTTAGTTTATGGAGTTTGGGGTATGTTGATTGACCATTAGGACACAAAATCTCAACAACAAAAAATTTGAAATTTCATCGTTTTAGTAAGAAGGTACCTACCTAATGATTTAGATTTTGGAAAACTTTGAAAGGTCATAACTTTTTTGCTATTATAGATAGAAAGTTGAAACTTTCGCTGAATTTTATCCCTTTCAAAGGACTACAATCCCTGAAAATTTCAGCTCATTTGTACTTATAGTTCCTGAAATAAAATCGTGTTAAGCCATTTGGGGTGATTTATCAATTTTTCAATTTCTCTGAGTGCCTTTTTCCATAGATTTCGGCTTCAAATGTGAAAATAATTTAGTTTATGGAGTTTGGGGTATGTTGATTGACCATTAGGACACAAAATCTCAACAACAAAAAATTTGAAATTTCATCGTTTCAGTAAGAAGGTACCTACCTACCTTATGATTTAGATTTTGGAAAACTTTGAAAGGTCATAACTTTTTTGGTATTATAGATAGAAAGCTGAAACTTTCACTGAATTTTATCCCTTTCAAAGGACTACAATCCTGGAAAATTTCAGCTCATTTGTACTTATAGTTCCTGAGATAAAATCGTGTTAAGCAATTTGGGGTGATTTATCAATTTTTCAATTTCTCTGAGTGCCTTTTTCCATAGATTTCGGCTTCAAATCTGAAAATAATTTAGTTTATGGAGTTTGGGGTATGTTGATTGACCATTAGGACACAAAATCTCAACAACAAAAAATTTGAAATTTCATCGTTTTAGTAAGAAGGTACCTACCTAATGATTTAGATTTTGGAAAACTTTGAAAGGTCATAACTTTTTTGCTATTATAGATAGAAAGTTGAAACTTTCGCTGAATTTTATCCCTTTCAAAGGACTACAATCCCTGAAAATTTCAGCTCATTTGTACTTATAGTTCCTGAAATAAAATCGTGTTAAGCCATTTGGGGTGATTTATCAATTTTTCAATTTCTCTGAGTGCCTTTTTCCATAGATTTCGGCTTCAAATGTGAAAATAATTTAGTTTATGGAGTTTGGGGTATGTTGATTGACCATTAGGACACAAAATCTCAACAACAAAAAATTTGAAATTTCATCGTTTCAGTAAGAAGGTACCTACCTACCTTATGATTTAGATTTTGGAAAACTTTGAAAGGTCATAACT